GAGATTAATAATATAAATACAGGTTTTCCTTGTTCTATTGATTTATTGGGTCCCAAATCTCCAAACACTTACCCGTCTTAGTCATTTTACTTTTGAGAACAATGACAAAGAAGCTTCTCACATGTATGAGTGTTTGCAAGAGTGAACATCTTTAAGTGAAGCTGATTAGCAATGTATTAAGAAGAAAGAATACCTCCTGTGAATATATCAGTACAATACTTCAGATGAATCAGATATGTAGAGGCATAATCCATTAATAGGAAATGGCAGAAAGAGATGTTTAATAAATATTCTTGTCTGAAATGTTGGAATGGGTCATGTCACTGTTTCTATTCCATTACAATGTGCAGTAGCTTAAGCATTTTCACTGTAGACTTCATTTCATCCATCATGGTCATAAAATAATTGTATGCCTGAGACTGAGATTTCATGATTTCCTGAAGCTGATCTATGGTCTGGTGACTCCCGAAAAGAGGAACCTTGGTCTGCCTATGTTTGGCCACACACTCCCTCCCGGTCTTGTGCCATATATTAGCACCTTTATGATAGATGGCTGACTTGGGTCAGGGGACTGTTTTTACTAAGACTTGATTTTCTTCATTTGTTCATTTCTGAAGGAGGCAGGTTGCATATAGGCCAACAGTGTTCTCCCATTGCAAATAGGAAAGCTGCCTAAGTGTGGTTTGCCCAATGCGTATGATCAGCAGATTGAGGAGATGGTTTCTTCCTTCTGCTTGGTGCTGGTGAGGCTGCACCTGGAATGTGTGCTCAGTATTTGGAGCTCCTTGCTTCAAGAAACACAGGGAGAAGTTGGAAGGGGTCTAGCAAAAGGCCCTCCGGTCAGGGTCTAGAAAAAGGCTGTATGGTCAGGGTACTTGGCCTACAAAGAAACTAGTTGAGGGAGCTGGGCTAATTTATTCCAGTGGAGATCCAATAGCAGCCTACGACTGTTTGAGGGAGAATTGCAGAGATGGTGGATTCAAAGTCATTTTGGCAGTACCGGGTGATATAACAAGGAAGAAAGGCCAAAAACTGCAGATGGAGAGGTTCAAGTAGGACAGTAAGAGGTCGAGGCAGCATTAATGTAGGCTGCCCACTGAGGCTGCCACTCCATCCTTGGTGGCTTTCAAGACTTGTCTGTCCGAGCCCTGGATAAGCTGAACTTGTGGCAGCAGCCCTGTTTCAGTGGGAGGCTGAGGTCTTCCAAGACCTTCAGAGATCACTTCCAGTGAACACTTCTGTCTTGCAATGAATGTTAATGTGAAGACAGAATCTACATTTAAGACCAGTAACAACACACACACACACACACACACACACAAATACAGTGGGTACTTACAAAAAGTGATTTAATTCATGCTAACACAGGTTTCCACAGCAGGTTAGGTGACTGTTTTTTCCTCTAATTAGAAAAGTCTTTAAGGGCTACTTTAGATTTGGAGCATTAATGCTGAGCTACCCATCCTTAGGTTAGGTGCACTTCAGCCTAAGTAACGTCACTTCAGCTGATGGAGCTGTAAATTTTCCACTGTTGTCATGTCCTTGACTGCTGCCATCCATCCCATCTCAGAACTGAAATTTAAATGAGATTTAAAAGAAAATTTCCGAATTAATACGGGAATTTAGTATTGACCTCTCTTCCAGAGAGATCATTTCTATCAAGATGCAGCAACTTCCAGAGGAACTAAGTTGGAATAAGTTTCAAGACAGGATTAAAGGATTTTAAAGATTTCTGTATTTATGTGTAATGCAAATGTACAAATATCTGAGTGTGATATGCATGTTTGATATGATTTTAGGCTTAGAAACATTGGACGTAAGATTTTTCAACAATTATCATAGAATAGACTTAATTATTTCCCACATCAAGTGCAAATATGTCTTTTAACTGCCATTCATAGTAGCAAAACCAGTGTGGTCTTGATTTTTTTTTTCTCTTCCTATAGTGTAGCTATAATCACTGAGATTTTCAACACAGGCACATGCACACACAGGCTCTGTGGAAGCAATGCTCTGTACATCCTCCCTGTCATGTTGTTCACGTGCCTAGCACAGGGAGTTGTGTTTCTGTTTGTCGCTCAATCGTATGTGTCAAGCACAACAAAATGGGTATCTAGTCCTCCCCCACAGCAGCAGACTATGGGGAGAGGGGAATTTATAAGCACATGATTACTGGTGAATCATCCACGTCCACAAAGTCTGCTTCTTACCAGCACTGCTGTCAGCTTGCAATGATTCCTTGCCTCTGGAAGGATACAGTGATGAATTAAAACAAAATCCCCACATGAACTTTCTCCAAGCATGTATATGAGGTAAGAGAAGAAACACCTGGCCTGCCCGTCAGCACAGGAACTTAAACAAACACCTGAAAGAAAGCCAAAAAAAGCAGTTGCCCATCAGGGATAATGCTGAGAGCTAGCTTTTGGACAACTTTCTGGCACCAGTCTTATCTGTAAGCCTTATTTTGCAGTCAGACTATCTGACCTGCTCCAGACTGCAGCAGTTCTGTGGCAGTGTATTAAGGGACTTGAGAGCATCCAGAGGACAACAAATCTGGTAACACGGCCAGAAGGCATGTTCTGTGAGGAGAGACTGAGGACACTTGGGTTCTCCAGTTTGGAGAAGAGGAGGCTGAGGCAGTCTCGCTATTCCCTGCAGCTCCCTGAGAAGGAAACATACAGAGGGAGATGCCGTTCTCTGCTCCCTGTTCACCAAGGGCAGGACGCAAGAGAATGGCACAGAGCTATGCCAGGGGAGGGTCAGAATGGGTGTTAGGAGACATTTCCTCACACTGAGGGTGGTCAAACATTGGAACAGGCTTCCTAGAGAGGTGGCTGATGCCCCAGGCCTGTCAGTGTTCAAGAGGCATTTGGAAAATGCCCTCATGAATGTGCTTTACCTTTTTGGTTAGCCCTGAAGAGGTCAGGTAATTGGACTTGATGATCTCTGTAGGCCCCTTCCAACTGCACTATTCTATTCAAGTATTGGCACTAAGGTATGTTGGTGGGAAAAGAGGGAAGCTAATAATTTGTACTGTTGAATGGGGACCTTTGGAAAATGGTGTTGAGGGCTGCAAAAAATGTCAAGCAGACTCTTTGGACTGTAGCAAGCCACTGAAGTGGTTGTTAGCAGGACATAGAGGATCAGCAAAAAGCCAGGAGTTCAGAAACCAAGTCTCAGTTTGTTCTTCCTTATCAATCAGGATAATAAAGTGCACACAGACAGGCAGCCCCTCTCAGTCAAACCTCAGAAAGTCTTTGAATTAAAAGTGAAAAAAATCTTCTGAGCTGCTTCCTCTGCATCACTTCGGATTGTGGCAAGTGCATTTTTTCATCCAGACGTGGAAAAAACTGTCCTGTGGTATCTGTGACTAATTTTTTTATGCTTTTCATTGGTGAGTTTTCCCAAGCTTGCCACTGGACTGTTGTTTGCAGTTTGTCAATTCTGCTGGGGACACCAGTGAGTCTATCTAAAGATCATTCAACTAGGTGCTTCACAGTGCTGACCTGCATCAAAATTAATTTCTCTCTCTCTCTCTCTCTCTCTTTTCTTTTTTTTTTTTCTGGCATTTTATCCTGTTTTAAAACTGTGATCCACCTAAGACAGTAGTAGAGTTGCCTGAATTAACATAACTTTTCTCATTCCTTCCCATCATGTATACTAAAATCTCTGATAGTATTAAAAAGCAACAACTAACATTTTTAAAATAGAGGGAAGATGTAGGGTCAAGTACCATTACAACAATGGGTTATTTTGTGATAGACTCTTATCTGTATTTAGAAGTACTTCTAAATAACTGGCAATGTTACAGAAGCACTGTAAAGGTCAATCAACTCAGTGTATGCATTTCATATTTTATGTTTCTGGTGCCTTTTTTTTTTTTTTTTTCTTTCCATAACAACAAGATCACAGCTGAAGTCCAATCTTCTATTTGCCATTTGTTGGAAAAAAAAGAAATTTAACAGGCTTTTGAGTTAAGGGATTTGTATATAACCAGGAATATTAAACCGTTCTTTGCACTTAATTTGTATAAAGACAGATGCACACGTAAATGTGTGTGCATGTATATGCATGTTTTCTTCAGCATACTTTTCGCTGTTAGTTGTCATTTTTCATTCAAATCTTAAAATTCCAGAGGTTTGTTATTGAAACATATACTTATCTGTCTTGAACAAGTCTTTTTCTAGCACTGTCAGAATTATCTGCCAACTTGGTTACAATCCCTGTGATTTCAGTTGATTCTGCTGTTCGGATTCTAAATAAAAACTTTGTTCTTCAGCTTGATATCAACACCTGAAGCAGCTATATCTCAAGCGAGGGATGCTTGAAATAATTTCCTGTGTGTGCAAATATTTGTACATTATGCAAAATAATTGACAACCAACTTCCAAATAGTGATGTATAAGTAAAATAATACTTGTAAATTTGGAGACCCTGTGGTTATTAAGATGGAGTTGTATTTTCTTCATTTCTATACTTGAATACTTCATATAACAGCACATTGACTGACTTATTTCATTTACTTGTGAAGACTTTAAAGTCTTTCATGACAAAGAAGTATAATAACTTTGTTTCTGTTATTTTCTGCTACCTCCAATGATAGAATATTAGGAGGCTTAAACTTTGAATGGCTGTTGTCGCTTCAGTATTGTACAGCCACAAATACAAAACAAGTCATGTGGAAGCAAAAACTCCTGCTACCTGAATTCATTCAGTTGGACTCTGTGGAGATGATAGTTACATAAATATAACTAGAGACTTATATAGCTCTATTTAGAAAATTCTTCCAGCAAAAATTCTTTTTTGAAAGTTATGTTGCAGCTGTTTAAAAAGAAAAAAAGAAAAAAAAAAAAAAACCAGTTGCTGAAAGTAGAAATACATTTTCCGTGCTAAATTTGAGTTCCATAAGGTTTGTTTTATTTGAATGTAATTATGATTTCATAACTCTAGACCGCACAGATCTTAACAAGAAATTATATTTTTTCTCTTTTTCTTTGCAGAGTCACAGTGTACACTCTGTGGGGAGCCTGAAGGTGAGCATATTTTACTCTTCATATTTTTCAAAGCAACTAGTGATGAACGCTTGACTCAAATGATACGTGTGTACAATAGAATGGAAATGGTATCTGAATGATGGGAACCAGTGAAAGACATTCTTCCTTATGTTAGATACCAAAAATGAATTGAATTAAGCTGAGTAAAGCACAGTACATGCTCCAGGCAGGAAATAACTTAAAGGACAAATATTCCATTAGAGCAAAAACGGAAATATTTACTTCTTATTCTTTTATGTGTTTGTCAAACTAATTTGGGGTAAGAGACAGTGTGAAGAAACATTTAAGGACACTACTTTGAGGATGGAAAACAAAGAGATTAGACATAAAAGGGAAATGAGAAAATGTTTATATATTTGATATGATTTACAGAGAACATAGAGGCTAACACTTTTTAGCAGGTGAAGTGAATAAATATTGCTTCTGAAATAAGGATAATTAAGCAATAACTGTTATGCAGTGCAAATATATGCCCAAGTGAAGGTGTATGCTGTTTTTTGTTTTTTGTTTTTTTTCCAAGTGACTAATTAAATGCCAAGGCGAGACCTACAATTTACCTAAATACACATTGCAGTAATGAGATTATGATTTTCGAGGCAGGCCATCATCGAAGAAAATCTCTCTCTCTCTCTCTCTCGCACACACACACACATTGATGCTGTTTTAAAGAAAATGTCAAAAAAAAAATGACCTTAGTTTCAGATCAACCATCTGGAGTCTTTCTAAGAAAAGTAGTCTGCAATAGCAAAAGTAACTGCTGAAGCAAAGTATATTCTTCAAAAAAAAAAAAATTATAGATTCTGTGCTGTTCCCAAAGAGATTCAGCTTTGTATCTTGAATAGTTTCTGTAAAGCAATTTAAAGCTTTAACTTTTTATAAATGTAGGAGGGAGAAGTTAGCAAGAGATGAAATCTAGAAGTGAAAGGCTTTGAGACCTTGCATCTCGTGAAATATAACTCAGTAAATTAAACATCCATTATTGGCTTCTACTTTTATTTTTTTCAGTAGAAAAGTACATTGTTTTAGAATTGGTTTTGACTTTGCATTGCTTTTAGAAACAGTCAATTCTTGATTAGTTCATGCTTACTGTCTTTTATTTGATAAACTTATATTAGCACAGATACACATATGGAAAGTAAAAATAAGACAGGTGTTTATTTGCCTTTCATGTAGTATTTCTTCCATGATAGGGTGGTCCAACTTTAAGGTTAGACACTGGATTAGTTCTGTTTTCTTGCATGCTGTTCTTGCTTTCTAACAATAATTTGTCTGTTTTCATTACTGCACTTTCATAACTATTCAGCAATGCAAACTTTAATAAGTATAAGGACTGTTAAAAAAAAAAAGTGGATAAAAAAAAGTAATAAAACCATTTAACATTTATGTGACTAAAATCTCACAGACAAAAGATAATTATCTGTATTGCCATAAGAACAGTTCTCAGGAACATAATGTTTAGTTTTCAGCTGTGTAGAAATGAACTTTCCCAGTGAATGTCTCCTGGATCACCAAACTCTGCACATTATTACTGGGAATGCTACTTATTAATTCTCTGCCTCGATTTTAAAACATTGACAATAATGTCAGCTTAGATTTGTGACAAGACGCAGAATCTTAAGGTTTTCTTTGTCACATTAGCACAATTTCTAATCTAATACTGAACATTTGCAGAAATTTTGTATGTTTTGTGATGAAGAAATAGTTGCTCAGTAGATATTATTTCTCTTTTTAGAAGGCAATTCTAAAATAAATTTTACATCTTTGGTGTATGCATGGAAAATTAAGAAAAAAAACAAACACCTCAAACCTCAAAAAATATAATTTTCCTTTGGAACTATATGGTATGGTCTCATAGTAAACTAAATGAGTTGCTAAGAAAACTAGGGAAGAACTCAGAAATCATCTTTTTGGATTTACTTTGGTTTTACTTGGAATTTATGACTGTTGTCTGTAGCTTTCTTCAGAAATTTGAGATGCCCTGGGGGTTATAGTTTGAACTTTTGATATCTAAGAAATGTTCAAAAATATCAACCAGTCATAGATACCACTTGCCTCCATTTTTTTGTCCTTCCTTATTACCTTAAGCACATTAATTTACTTTAGTATATTAAGATGAATTTTCAAAATAGCAGGACAAATATGACATGGCATAGGCCTCCTCTATTAATTTCCAAAATGTTAAGTACTTGTTCATGAAATAGTAGGTAGATGTGGAGGAAGTTCCCTGATTTGGAAGAAAGGGAGACAAGACTTCACATCTTACCGCATCTGAATTCCTCGGAAGCCGTTTATGCCATTTATTGAAAAACCTACCAGTTACTAGGGGTGAGTTTCTGAACAGCATCTTCTGCTTTGTATAAGAAAGTTGGTTCCTGCCAGGAGTTGTTCATTGCTCCTCCTCAAGTGAGTGTGACATGTTACAGACACACATCTGACTCTTTGCAACAGCCAGTGTTCTCTGTTAGAAGGACTGGTGTAGTCATGAGATGTTTCAGCACAGTTACTTCCATTAATACTCAAGCAGATCTAGTTTCTGTTCTTCCTAAGTCCTGCCATTATTCACAGAAGTTCAGGAAAGGATTATATTAACAAATATAATTTGCTATATTACCAAAATTGCAAACAAGTTAATTTTGTGACAGCTAAGATTTCAGTAGACAACTCTGTCTTCTCAAAGACTGTGAAAATAGAAGCTTTCTTCCAGACCTGTTTTATATCCTTCACAACTCCAGTAGTGACTTACTGTTTCTATTCATGGTTCTTTTCTTCAGTATTCTGGTATTCATGGTTCTTTTCTTCAGTACTCAGTATGATTATTCTGTTCCTTTCCTCCTTAAAGATAAATGTGCAGTCCTGTTCAATACCAGCATTTTCAGCATTTTAATAAAAAGTCACCTCTACTGATTCTTTGACAGCACAAGCTTTATCTGGAAAGTGTGGTGTTAAAAAGAAATACCTCTGCATGGATACATTTCTAGTTAAGTTTGAGAATTAATATAAATTCTGGTTCTGTCCAGTCTATCACCCATTTCAGCAGAAGAAAATACAGATAATGATTCATCTTGCCTTAGGAAATCTTTTAAGCCAGTGGGAACTAGAAGCTATAGGTTGCTGGATTCATGTAAAACATCATTGTATGCTCTGCTTCTACTTAGACACTTGTGTCGTAAGTCTAGGAAGAGCATGGAAAAATGTTTTTCTCCAAGTATCTGTTGCTGGCAATCATGGAGGACAGAACACTGGGAGCACTGGCCTTTGATCTGACCCTATTAATTCTTATGGGCTTGTGTTCTTATCAGTTTGAATTTAAAAAATAGTGGCTCTGAATGGATTTTTTTTTTTTTTATAGCCATAGAAGAGAAAACCTGTGTTAACTTTGCTGTAGGTATTAAGCTTTCTGCACTGTTACTGTGATGCTGATAGCACTTTCCAATTTATTTAGAAGTATTACATGATGTAAATGAGATTCTCTGTGTTGAAGCTCCTGATGCATTATGAAAGTTATAGAATACTCTGAGCAATTATGCAGAGGCTGTGGAGTAGGTAGTAGGCAGTTCAACCTATTGTTCTCTCTGTTATCTGGTACCTCTTGATCTTGCAGTCTACATACGGGCTGTAATATGCATATCTCATTCTACCACAGATATAATCTGGCAAATATCCTTTCAATTCCACAGCACTTAGTAATCAAGTCTAGCTCTCCAAAAAGATACTGATATACACAAAGGCTATGAGTAACAGTACTTCTGTATTTTACTGTGATCTGCTTTAAATGCATAGAAAGAAGACAACTTTCATTATGAACAGTTCAGTGAAGACGTCTAATTAGGATGGTAGTTAAAGAAAAACAAAATAGTCGTATTTGTAAGGAAAGAGATGGAGAGTACAATACAGTACATTAAAGCATCACTTGTGCATATTAGAAGTACCCTATCCTGAAATACTGAGTTAAATCTTTGCTGCCCCCCACCACCAGAAAAGAATATAGCAAAGAGGTTAGGAATCTAGGTATACAGTAAACTTGGTAAAATATATGAGGAGCAGTCCCATGTGAATGAACATCAAGATGGTTTGCTCTGTGTAATTTAGAGAAAGAACCATTAAAAGAAAGCAAAATATACCTACTGCATGTTTCTGATAAATGATACATCCATTTTCTATGGGATCATGAAAACCAGGCATTCCAGTTTTGTAATATATCCTGAGAAAGAAAATATTCAAAAGCAGAACAAGCATAACTTAGAAAGACAAATACAGATGTGGAATTTGCTGCCACAATGTGACTTTTGAGATTGACTTCAAGTTCAGTTAGCACTGGATGTTTCAGTGAACAGTAAGAACTTTCCTAAGGATCTGGGATAGGAAGAAGTCTCACTATTATCAGTAATGGCTTTATATAAATAAAATAACTTCTTTTTTAATAGATAAAGCATATGCTTCCCCTAGGGGTAGGTTATTGTTTCATAAGCCATTTATTCATCTTTGGTTTTGATTAATTTGTTAGTGACTGTAGCCAGAAACTGAATGTCCTACTGGGCCTGCTTTGTTGCGGAAATCTTCATATTCTTTCTATGAAAGCCTTGTGAGTTTCTGAAAGTCAACCTCTAAAGAATGAACTAGAAAGATTCCCCCTTTCCTACCTCATTTAGGTGAGCGGGTCTTTTTAACTATGTTCATGCTGTGGGGTAGCTGTTTATCCAAAGGTTAAGGTTGAGGTGGAATAGAATTACCAAAGTGGCAGCCAGAACTGGAGTCTTACACATTATCCCAACTTAGAGGAGCTAACAATGAAGTTAGGGATTGCTTAACAGTCTCCTGTAGGCTTGCAAAGAATTAGAAGTCCTGGGCAGAAAAAAACAGAAAAATTTTCTTTCCCACAAGTAACCATCTTCTCATATTTAGCACTGTAGATCCAAAACGTGTTTTTGCAAAGCTCTCCTAAGGTCAGAGAATCTATATGCTGGACAACTCTGTCATTC